AGTACTTTCTGATACAAAACAGGAAGCAGGAACAGCAAATCATGAAGGAATGGCAGGACCGCAACAGCCCTGGGTTCATACTATCATGGAAACATTAAGTCTGCCTTACACTACTAAAAATAACACACTATCATCTCTCCTCCACATCAAAAAGCTTACCATGTGTTATCTAGCAGTCACTCCCAAGAAGTTTGGCTGCTTCATTACCCTACCTACAGAGCTTCCCTTTTGATCATTTCCATGACGTGCTCTGTGAGAGACTTGCATCTGAACCGACAAAACAGAAGTAATGCAGGGATTTCCTAAAAAGCTTTTAAGGACAGCAGTGTCCTTTTTCTGCTACTGTATTACTTATCCATTTCATAACTTTAACTGAATAAGCAGCGAACAATGGCTAGCACAGCAAGACCAACATTTCAACTGAGAGACTATAGAAGGCGGCACTATATTCTCACTTGTGAAAGCAAAAATGTAAAACCAGCCCACCATGCAGGAATGAATTAGAAAGAGCTATTCAGGGAAGTCAAACTTGCACGCAGAATTTATTGTGGCTTTTTAGATGGCTAAAACAAATGAAATCTCTCCTAATATGTTTCAAATTTCAAGCTTTTGCTAGTCTTAGCTACAGGGCAACAAATTACGTTCAGCATTACTACAATACCCATCTTTTCTTTTTTTTTTTTCCGCTAAAGCACTATTAGACATTCTTAAATTAAAATTCTTTCTACTGTATCATGTTTTTGCTATGGAACTCACAGGACAGAAAGTTGTCAGGGTAGAAATGAAGACATCCTTCAGTTTATTGTAAGAAGTTGAAAATAAACCACAATTTTACAATTACACTTCTAAGGAAGGTATTAGAAATTTCCTTTAATTAATAAAGAAGCTCCATCTCATCATACTTGCCGAAGGCAGTCTTTGGGAAATAAATACTCTTAACTTGTCCAATTGAAAAATAAAGCATTCTGCCAATACTACTGCCCCTTCATTATATTCTCTCCTGTTATATACAACATATTTTCTGTATATAGGAGTGACTAAAAATAGAAATACCATCAAAATAACATCCCTGGTAACAGGGAGTAAACACGACAGTGAGTACTCACATAGCAAGCATACAAAGAACCTTCCAATTTGTAAAAACAGCACATTTACTTTCCCCCATACCATACAGCTAAATTTGACGATATTCAAGACTGAAAAGTCCAAAATCACTATTATAGGCAGGAGCTAAAAGTACTAACAAAATTAATGTTTCAGTAGAAGATTGTTTATTCCCTATCCATCACAATCTCAAAAGTCCGTTATTGTAGTGGCAAACGATATACACCGTTTGACAGGGAGCATCACCGACTAATAGTGTATTGTAGTTGTCTTCAGACAAGATGGAGGCAGCAGCCAAGTAAAACTACAGCTGCCTGGGCACAGGAAGAGCAATACAAGGAATGTGAAAAACACTGATTCCAGACCAAATTAGAGTAGTTAAGTAGAAGCCAAAATTATGATCTTTTCCTCAGAAAGGAAGAATGTGGAGTCAAAGGAAAAAGGCATGAAAAGTATTTGCCTGAAATTTGAATTCTGTTGTATATGCCGCATCCTATATAAAGACAGCTAGTTTAAAGGTAAAATAGTAATTAGAGAGACCTGAACATCTGTATAACGAAAGGAGTATCTGGAAAACACATTCAGCTAGAAGAGTTTATTCAACACTTACCAGAACACGTAGAAGCCTTACGTATTTCTAGCAGACGAATTCAGCCCTATTGCCCAGGACCTCAAAGAATAATTCCAAACCCTTAATGACACCACAACTCGGTATGCTGTACTTAATTCTGTATGTCCCCTCACACTTGCTCCATGCTTTTTCTTACATTCTGTAGAGCACAATCCAGAGCATCTTTTGTCTTTACTTTGCAAGAGAACCACCCATCCTTACTGAACTCTTGTGAATAACAAATAAACTCTCAAAGCTCTCACAATTAAGAGAGATCAATGACCTGTAGGATTCACTTTAGGAAGCATAAGGATGGTACAGCTCAATGTGATCCCAAAAGCCTGCAGACTGCTTTATTCTTCCTGTTTTTCTTTGGAGAAAAACATGAAAGAAGCAGTACCATATGATCTTGCAGGTCCAGATAATGCCCAGTATCTCACTGAACTACGGGAAGAGGGAAATATTTCTCTTATAGAACCTGAAGTACAACCAAAAAAAAAAGTTTCATATCAAAGAAATGCAAATTAAATACAAAATAAGAATAAAAAGGTTTTGGCCTTTCTCCTTAGGGAGAAAAAATGGCTTGTTCAGCCAGTTTGCCTCAAGTTGTCCTTTTTATTTCTAAAGATTAACTGCTTGACTATACCACCATCTTGGTAAAAATCCAAGAGCAAGTGGAACGGGAAATTAATAATTCACATCCACAAGGGGGAAAAAAAAAAAATCACTAGTGATTCCAATTCATAAAGATGAGAACAAACACACTTTACTACTGAAATAGTCTCTGTTCACCCAAGTACCTTCAAATGGAAATCCATTTTAGAAATATGCCTATTTGTGCACTGTTGCTATAAAATGTAATTAGGTTTTTTAAATCTTGAGTATAAAAATAACCGATTATTCCAAGAAATTAGTAACTCATTCCTATCTGTAACACTAGCTTGCTTTTCTGAAATGTATCTCAGAAAACCAAAGCATTGCCACTATATGGCAAGAATAAGACTGAATCTTCTCTCCTACATAATCTCAAATTTTATTCAAGTTGGATGGTGATAAAACAGAAATACATTAATATATTTTTATCAATTTAAATCCTCTGACATTCATTTGGAAAACAGTAATATTTGCAAGTATTCTACCACACAAAAGGAAATTTCTGATTTTTCATTCATACCTTTTTAGAGCATCTTTGGAATCTTCCAACATCTACAGTTTCCCCTCTTATAATTAGCTAGGATTTATTTTTTCCCTCATGTTTACTCTGATTATTTAAAGGTTTATGGCTTCTTTCATAGAAGTTTTCAATTCATACCTTTTAATTCTAGAACAGAATTTTTCAACTCTCAAACTGCCTGAAACCATAATTTGATTAAACAGCCATTTTTGATACTAATTGAACAGATGCAATAGCTAGTGCAAAAACCAAGTTCACCTATATACTAATTCATTAGTATGTACTACACATGCCTGTTTCAATGAGGCATAATTTTCAGAAATGAGAGCCAATAGACCTTTAACTCCATGCATGTAATAAGCACCTCCCAAATCTCTTACGCCTACACATAATATACAAAGATGTTAATGAAATGAACTGACAATGTGTTTTTCAACTGATACTGTATTTGGACAAGTTGGCCCTATGTTGTGTTTTTTTTTTTCTCTAAAGGGAAAAAAAATTTCTGTCATCAGGATTATAGCACTCCCCCAACTAAATTACTAAATGAGGCAGAGTACTTTCAAGACAAAGAGCTGGCTGACACTATAACAATGAAAAACTGCTCAGGTATTTGGTTTTTCTGGAGGCTCAAAACACACCTATCCATCAGCTCCAGAAACCAAGCATAACACAAGCATACCCACAGTATACAGGCTGGTACTTCAGACAATACTGAGGTTTTGTGATCTATCAGGTCATCTTGAACATGACTCTTCAGTCATATGGGTCAGCAATAAGAGGGAGGTAGAAGAATCAACAGACGTTTGACAAAATTAATTCTGTATCACACGGAAGTTTGAGTTGTGTGGTTTTTGAACTATTTGCTGCGTAGTAGTTAGAGAATAATATAAAGGTTTCAAGTTTTGCCCATATAAAAAGCCTTTTTCTTATTACCATTTCTAATCCTGATTATAAACTTGATCCTGATGTGCTCAAGATCCCTTTAGTAAATGAACAAATTCTGAAGATCTACTTTCTCTAGCTGACTTCTGCTTTCAGAGACTGGCAATACGCAATGTGAAGAGGTCTAAATTACATTTTTTTCATACTTCCTGCTTAATATTCTACCATATTTTGTTAATTCAAAAATTAAGTCTCTCTCCTGATCTTTGGTTAACTTTTAAAAATACGTTCTGAATAAATGTCCTTACAGAGCACGTGCCACCACAAGTTTCCTGACAGCCAGCATCTATTAGCATTCACTAAGCATCTAAAATCACTACGTCATTGTAATACCACCGACTACTTTCTTTCATAAGATAATCTCCATTTTCCCTTATAGTATAGAAAATTTTTCCTCCATTGAAAAAGATATAATTTATTTTTATCATTTTATAATGGCACAAAAGTGGTGGTAAAAATCAGCACAAGATGCAAGTTAATGGCACGGGATGCACCATACAGCCATGCTGAGTCACCTTGCTTTGAGTGAGAACACAGAGCAGATTTAAGAGAGGGGGTCTCACAGGATAATTCTGGTCCCCGCAAAAGGCTTTAAGTCATCTGGCTGGGCACAAGGCAGTTTATATTATCAGGAAATAAGAAAGGTAACCCATTTTCCAGTTTCACCATGTTTATTTTTCCCCAGTAAATTGACAGCAACATTTTCTGATACTGTGTTTCCAAAGGGTTTTATTCTTTCTGGAAGGTGTTTAATATGATTATCTAAGAAAACACACCTTCCTTTCTTAAAGTATCAGAATCCTCTCAAAGTGAAAAAACATGTCACATTTCCCCAGTCTTAAAGTGAAGCATCCTTATACTGAAAGAAGGTGAGAAAGCTAGTGGTTGTAACAGTTCAGCATTGCCTTTTAAACGTGATAAGAATTTCCTGGATCTATATCTAAAACAGGCAAAAAAGACAACATCTCTTAAAAATACTATTCTGTTCCGAAGAATAATTCAATCCGGGATGAGACATTTTAAAGATCACTAGAGTATTACAAAATAATATCCAAACTTCATTTTAGAATGCCGCTCTGCAGGCTTACTCTTACTGCTGCAGTATTAATTGTATTTCAGAAGTAACTTCTGGAAACGGAAATCGAAGACTTGCATACAAATACTTACTGCAGGTATCAGTAACTTTTTTACTTCTTCAACAGCCCTCTTCAGTTTTATTTCTGCTCTGTTCTGAGCATCCTCCACAGTGATAAGTACATGTAAATCTTCATTCAGGTGTTCCCAGTTGGGCTTGCCTCGGTTCTGTTCTTCCTAAAAAAAAAAATGAAAACACAGAAGCTGTGAAGCACGTTGCATTCTGTATAAAACAATCACATAACAGTAGACAAACTCAATTCTGTGAATAGTATGAACTGTATTTTCAGCAAGATGGGAAAAGACTTCTTCATACTGTGGAGACAGTTTTATGTGGTTATTTAACAAGAACTTAGGCTTCAAAATACCTTTGGGGGGGATTTTGTTTGTGTTTTGGAACCTCATACTTTTTTTTTTTAAGACGACAAAATAAATGTGATTTCTTAAAAGTGTACCTTTCCCAACCAAACAAAGGAAGAAGAACAAGAAGTACTACACACACAGTATTGCTTTCAATATTCTTTGGAGCCTTTCAAGGGTTAAACAGATAAAACATACTGGTGGTTAAGCAACCTAGTATTTTCAAGAAAACTGAAACAGACACCATACATAGAAACTCCATCTGAATCACTCCAAAGGACAAGAGAGCAATTCTTCAGTGTTAAAAATCGCTTTAAGTACTCATGAAGAAAAGGTTCAAGACTCAAACATTACAGAAGGAACAGACGTTGCAATTTTCAAAGCAGAGCTATGTGTACCGCATGAAGGGCACAGAGGAGGAGATGACAAGGCTTTAATACTGAAGTCACAGAAAAACATCTAACAAGACAGTCACCGTTACACAGGTCCTCTGTTACATCAATGGCGTTAATAATCCCAAAGGTAAATCTTAGAAATGGTTTCAGAAAGGGAGGGCATGCTAAACAAAACATTTTTAAAATGTAAACATTTCTAAACAACAGATACCAGTAAATTTAAGTAACACATTCAAGAACCCAGTCTTTCAAAAAATAAGAAAATGAACACAACACAGAAGGAACTTCCCAACTCCGTTTTTATTAAACAGTGGATAAAGCTAGCTAAATTTCCCAGAAACATAATTTAAATTTGACAATACTTAAAATGTAATAAAATGAGGAAAAAAAAAAGGGGGGGGATCAAAACTTTAATAAATTAGAAAGGTTTATTATAACTTTTTAATCTAAATAAAGGTCCACATAAACAAAACCCACTTATTTAAAACTTAAAATTCCAGACATAATAAAAGAGCCTCCTATTTGTAAGACAAACATTTGTGGTTTAACAACAATTCCCATTTAAAAAAAAAAAAAAAGCTCAGCAAAGTTAATGCAAATGTGTCTTTTCCCCCAAATTTCATTAAAATTCTTCCAGGAAATCAGACGTGCAGAGGAAATGTTTGAAGATTTAATACCAACAAATACTTGCAGTACTTTATATTCATATATACCTGAGGGAGCACTGTTCCTTAGAATGTTCTATCTTTAATTCAGCTGCCTTAAGTCTGAAACGTTTTGTGGAATAGACGAGGATGGGACACACACACACGACACAGAATAATGAGAAATGTAGG